CTCGCCGGTGGAATACCAAGAGGCGTGGTATAGTGAACACGATAGACACCCTAAGGAAGAGTCTTTTTGAGATGTAGGGAATTAGGATTTATGTAGGCTGGCTGTGAGGGAGGAGGGAGTTAATAACATAATCAGCAGGATGGTGATAGAATGTTGTGTGGTGTGGGAACCTGGGGCTCCCTGATTTTCCCCAGAGGACTGGAAACTTCTGCTTTTCTTTTCAAGAGGGAGCTGTATGACTGAACACATCTGTTTTTTCTGCTATCCACTGGGACCATTTCAGCAGTGGGCAAGGTGCCACGGCTTTAAAAACAAGATTCAGGCTCAACTGTGGCTTTTTCTCTTACTTCTTCTCGCTCATAGATCAGTAAGAAGGGGAGTGGGCTTTCTCCTAGTTCAAATAGGGATCAGGACCTTTTCAGCAGCTTTTTGAAGATCACCTGGAAACCTACCATTCTCTCCGTTGCTCTTTCCGCCTCCATGAGACAGGCTTTTGTATGCCTGGGTACACGAAGCAGAGCTGCAGATCTAACTCTCCCCGTAGGTCAGTCTGAAGTATGCGTGAACAGGGATGTAGGTCCTGTTCTCATTCTCGGTGTAGTTTTAGTAGGAATCTTCTAACTTGGTGGGTAGTTAGACACTTACCTGCCTCAGTAATAAAGATGGTACGTCAGATACTCATTTGCATCCTTGTGCTTATTCTCGGTTGGTTATAAGCTAGGGAGGATGGGTAATGGGCATCCCACAATTTTGAACACCATAAGTGACCATAAGTTTCCAGAAAAACTGCAGGCATTGTGATATGCTTTGGTGTTTGGGGGTCCTCAAGAAGATGATGAGGTGCCAATGTTTTTACAGGGTGAGCATGGGGAGAAGAACTTACATGCAATTTGGGAAGCAAAGACATGGTCTCCTAAGGAGGTGTTCACATTATGTAACTAGATGTAGACTTCCACCCCATAGCCTAACAGCTCCAATGCGGGGCTTGAGCAAATGGGGAAGCAGGTATTTTCCATCCCCACTCAAACTGCAGGGTGGCCCTATGTTAGCTTGCAGGGGAAATTAAAATTTTAAATAAAGCCTGCCAAGAATGCCCGCCAAAATGAAGTGGACATGTCCGGAAAAGCCTGATAACAGAACACTCCTTTGTGTAATCCATCTTTTTTGTCTTTGTGTAACTGATGGTGATAGCCTTGCAGTGTAACTTACTTGAGACTGATGATGGTCTTGTAATATAACTTGAGATGTAGAAACCCCTTGGCAACCTGTGATGTCATCCAACCTTCCAATCATAATGCGCCAAATCTGCCTTTGTATCTCCCTGCTTGCCCTCCCTATAAGAGTCCCAGAACCCCATTGGGTGGGGTTAACTCTTTGGGAGAGATCCCAGTCAAGCCTACTGGTGTAAATTGACTGTCTCCTAAACCTTCTCGGTGCCATTTTTCCCGAGTTTGGTATGTCTTCTGTAACAAGCTTAGTTGATATCTTCATGTGAAAAGGGATCATCTTTCCCTTTTCCTCACTGCAAACACACTTTGGTACAGAGCTCTAAGACTGACCTGGATTCATATTCCTGCAGTGTCTCTTATGTTTCCACAGGGTTTATTTTTTGGCAAACATTTCTATACTTGCCTTGTCTTTGTTTTACCTCCTATTTCTAGTCTCAATTCCTAGTCTTCTCTTATACTAATCAAACACAATGGGAATGAATATATATATACATATACATATATATATATATATATAGTATATTTCTCAATTTACCAAAATGTAATTAGAATTATCTTTGTGTATATCAGAATTTTAAAAAAGGAATTAAAAAATAAAATAAGGCATTCAGCTTCTGCAAAACTTATATCTATCTCCTAGTCCTATTGTCAGGATTAAATGAAACAAAGTGAAGCATCTATATATCACATATCTACATATTTATATAAATATTGCATATTTTATCACAGACATAGAGTGTTATGGTTGAGAAGCCCAGTGGAGGTCAGATATAAAATCAAAGTTTACATTTGTACAAACTGAGATCTAGGTCATATCTAATTGGTTCCCAAGATTTTCTGGCTCTTTCTGCTATCCACAGATTCAAATGTGGACATTTAAAAAAGCCTAGGTATTTATTTAGCCCCTTCAGACTTTTTGAATAATGTTTTCACTTTTAATTTGCACATTCCATGCAGCCAAGCCTTTATCCTCTTTAACAAGAAACTATGAGCTAAATAAAAATGGGAAGTGTAGAAATGAAAAACTGGCTTTGAGTATCAGATGTCAGTAGAGTGCAACTGGGGAATGGCACTTTATGGATAGATCATTACTGATGGCCTTTTCTTCTTGGAGGTTGCATGATTTTGGTCATGATGATTCAGGAGCCTCCAATCACTAAGTCATCCATGATTAAATGTTGCTGGTGGAAAATGTGGGTGATTTTTAAGTGTTGCCAACTGAGAGTTTATAGTATCTTCTCAGAAAGGTGTGTTTTCCTTAGGTGGCAACCTTAGGAAAACAGGATTTCCTTCTGCCATTTTCAAAATGAATTTGATGGCTCCTTACCTCATGGTTCATTCATTCATTCTTTCATTGTTTCTTTTTTTCTTTTTTTAGACAGGGTCTCTCTTTGTAGTGCAGGCTGGCCTTGAATTATGGCAATCCTCCTGCTTCAGCCTGCCCAGTGGGATTACAGGCATAGGCCTCTCCTGATTCTTTACATACTTTGCTAGTCTCATTATGTCTGGGATCATATATCAGCTTATTGTTAAAAACAGATTCTAGGGGCTGGGGATTTAGCTCAGCGGCACAGCGCCTGCCTGGCAAGCGCAAGGTCGTGAGTTTGATTCCTGGTACCCGGGGGGAAAAAAAAAATCCAAAAAAACCCAAAAAAACAAAACAAAACAAAACAAACAGATTCTAAAACAAAACAAAACCAAAGCAATATACAATATTTACCTCCTTCAGGAAACTGCCAATGAGTAGGTATAATTTACCTTTTTTTTTTTTTTTTTTTTTTTTTGGTTTTTCTCCGGCACCGGGAACGGAACTCACGACCTTGCGCTTGCCAGGCAGGCGCTTTGCCGCTGAGCTAAATCCCCAGCCCCTAGTTTTTTTTTTTTTAGTTTTTCTCCAGTACCGGGAATCGAACTCACAACCTTGCACTTGCCAGGCAGGTGCTTTGCCGCTGGGCTAAATCCCCACCCCTCTAACTTTGAACTATTCAAATAAAATCTCAGAATTTTGAATTCCTTAACAAACAGTTGAAGTTATTTTTATTTATTTCTGTATATCTTTTGAGTATCCTAGTTATTTGCTTAAGCTCTTTGCCCATAGCAGTCAGCTGAGGATTGCAGTCTTGGACCAGTTACTTACAGTGCATGATCTTGTTACCTCAAGAATAAAAATGGCGCCTAACTCATGGGATTGTTGCGAGGCACCAATTGTTGAAATACAAAATATATAGAAACCACTTTGCATAGTGTCTGATACAGTGACTGCTATCAAATACCTACAACAATTACTATCTGTCCAGGTTACTTTTCCATGCGGGCTGGAAGATGTGTTGGGAAGAGTGTGAGGTCTGGAGTGACTCAGTTCTGAGGTCCATTTCTGAGTCAGTTAATTACTGCTCTGCATGGCATCTTGAGAATTTCAATGAACTCTTCCAGCTGCCCCTTCTGGATTTCTAAAATGAATATACAGCCAGAATATCCAGTTCACCGGGTTGTTGAAAGCAAATTGTCTATTATGTCCCTTTTTACCAAGTGATTATCAACAAGTTAACATCCTAGATATTCTATTCTTAGGACAATGCAAAGCACGAGGACTCTCAGGAAGTTTCAGAAAATAAACGCGAGTTCTCCATCACCAGCAAGGACAGCGTCTAACAAAATCAAGCGAAGCACGCACAATGAATTGCTGATGATACATGCACATGAAAGTGGCTCTCTCATCCCTGCCCATTTATATTCTTTCCAGTGTGGATGCAGAGAAATTTTCAATGAGAGCCTTCTTTTTTCCGGATATTTTTTTACAAGTCAGCAGATCTCCAAAGCCCAACCAAAATACAGGCTGATTAAGGACCCTTCAAAAACTGGAACTGTCACCAACTGCTCAACGGCCAGTCTCACAGGAACGGGGAGAAAACGAACCTCTTTCCAGCCAAGGGCAGAGATGGTATCCGGATTCCGGGAGAGGTAAACCCGCAGGGCATCAAGTTGCGGGACCCGGACCCGAAGCGGTGGTAAAGGGTCCTTCCCAGCATCACCCGCTCCCCCATCGCGTCACGAAGGATTTTCCCCGAGCCTCGCGACGACTCGGGGCTTCGGCGCCGGGGCTGTAGAACCGCGGTCCGCAGAGGGTTAGCCGCCCGCAAGGAAGCTGGAGAGGGAGGGTCCGGGAGCTCGGGAAGGGAGGTCCACTCGGGCGCGCCCCGCCCACCGCGGGCAGGCCCCGCCCACGCGGCCCC